ACTATCCAGCAAAACAGAATAGAGGAACCTCAGTCAAAAACAAGATGGTGAGAGTAATACAGGGCTTCAAATCGAGATAATAGAAAGTCAAAGTGGGTTACTATATTATATCCTGCTATATTTTTCCCTTTAATTAAATGGATAAAAATAAAAAAGTAAATAATGGAATGGAGATTGAGAAAAAAGAGAGCATAACAGCGAAACAGGGCAGATCAAAACATAACCATTTAAGCAGAATAGTGTTTCACCACCAGATATTTCCGACCCAAAAATAGTTACCATATTGACTCCCTCCCTGAAGTCCTTGAGTACAACTTCATATACTGTAGCATTAAGTATATCAAAACAATGTAAAACCATTTAAGAGAATGACAGCATTATAGAGTATTTAGAATCGACTAACAGAAAATGAACAATGGTCTCTGTATAATCTCCTTGTCTTTAAAAGGTTTTTGCTTATACTATCGTACATAACAAAATCCAATAAGATACAACCTGTTTAGACCATTGGAGACAGAAGAACAAAAGCTAGATGAGACTTCAAAACAAGATGGTACTAAATCAGCATTACCTATTAAGATGTCATTTTCTCCAAAATAGCTGTTCCTATCATCCAATCTTCTCTGTCTCATTTCTGTTGAGCTCTTTTTCTGTCAGTAGCTGTCAGTTTGTCTTCTTCATTTTGTTCTCTGCTCCATTCGTTGTGGCCTCCCCGCCACTATTTCTGGGTTCTTTGTATTTTTCTTTTTTTAGAATATCCTGCAATACTTTCTGTAGGGTTGAATTGGTGGTTGCAAATTCCCCCAGTTCCTCTTTATCCTGGAAGCACCTCGTTTTTCCATCAATTTCCAGGGACAGTTGTGCAGGATATCTCAATCTTGGCTGGAGATTATTATCTTTCAAAGCTTGAATTATTTCTCCCCATGCTCTTCGTGATTTGATGGTTTGTGAAGAGAAATCTGCTGTGATTCTGATGGGTGTTCCCTTGTAAGTGATCTGTTTCTTGTCTCTAACAGCTTTTAATATTCTGTTCTTGTATTGAATTTCTGGAATTTTTATTATTATATGCCTGGGTGTTTCTCTGTTAGGGCAAACCCAAAATTTAAAGCTCCCTCTCTTTGCACATGCACCAGTGCTCCTCCAATCAGCTGTCAATACATCATACCACCAGCCCCTTTAACTCCGCCCCTGGCAAGTCCAAATAAAGCCAGCAGCTTTTTTCTTGAACCTTCAGAGGGTGCCTGCCTCTCTTCAGTAGCCCTCCCGTGCCCGCAATAAAGGACTTTTTCTTTCTTTCTGTTTTCTCTCTCACATGTCAGAAGACCAAATAGTTCTTATGGATTCCTTTGTTTTACTTTGAGCCGTAAAAATACAACAAACATGAAGGTGGAGGATCACTGCAAGTTTGAGACCAGCCTGGGCTACAGGGCAAGGTGCTGTCTCAAAAAACAGAAACAATAAACAATCAAAGCACAATAATTTAAAACAGATCCTATAATTAAAAAATTAATGGACTCAATGACTGTAACTATATAGAATAATAAAACTATATTTCCCAAAAAAAATTTATTTCAAATAACTTTAATACATAGCTCTTTATACAACCGTAGTGAGACGCATTTTAAAACATAAGAAGCTACAAAGGAATTTTAATCTCCAGTGGATTTCTTGTGAATAGTAACATGGGTTTTGCTATTTGAGAACACTTCATATTTAGGATAAAGCAAATGTATCCAAACTTATGATAAACTGTTAAGAATGTTTAAGACTTTTTTTCACTGCAAGATAACAAAGATAGAATTTGAAGAAATGTTTTAGAAGATGATATGGGCCAAGTCTCTTCTAGGTATTAAACTAAGGATAGGCTACTAAATCAAAAAGAAAGTAAGAAAAAAAGTTAATTTCTTGTTAAAATCTGTATCTTCTTTTTATACACTTTGTTTCAGCCTTTAATCAAAATTGGTATTATTTATAATTTTAAAATGTGTTAATGTGTTTACTTTCTAAAGAAAAGACAATAATAGATATTCAGAAACAGTAGCACTGGATATAGAAAAAAAATTGGGACAAACAAAGCCAAAGAAATCCAGAGGACTACTGACTGAATAGATCACTGTTGCACCAGAAAAAATATTAGAAAGGATTCTATAGTTCAAGTCCTGCTGACTTGAAGAATTGTAGGGCTATATAAAGACATGAGTAAAATCTTAGAAGAAGCAATTTTGGCAAGAAAAGTACTTTCTACTTTAGACATAATTCTAGTTGGATATTTTCAGGAGGCAATAAGACCTGTAAAGGTTTATTATGAGAAAGACTTCAGAATTAGCAGAATCCACGAAAAAGCTTCAGTAAGTGTTGAAGCTTAGGATTCAGTTAATATCCATTGGGAGTCTATACAATGACCAAGATTCCAACGTCAGGAGCATAAAATTAAGAAAATAAAAGTAAGAAGAGCACAAGAACATGAGGAAAAGTTGTCAGATATGGAGAAGATGAGCCAGTCCTATTTCAGCAAAGGAGGAGGACATAGTAGCTACCAGTTCACAGGTCACATATCACAAAGAAAGATCAGGCACCGAGACCAAAGGGATCTGGTGACCAAAAGTCACTTAGGAAATAACTAAAAAGATTCATGCAAAAGTATATCAACCTCAGTACCATTTATGATATTAAAAATGTCTCTAATGGCCTACATTAGTAAATAAATTATATGCATACAATAAATACTGCACAGCAATTAAAGTAATACTTTGAAGAATTTTATGATAGAGGATAATGCTAATGAAAATACTGTAGGAAACAAACATATAGGTATATAGTATCAACTATACAAAGTACATAAAAATATCTTTAAAGAATGAGATGTTAACATTACCTCTTGATAGTGTATAATTATTTCAACCTTTTTATTTTTCTCTATAAAATTATGAGTTTTTTAAATCAAAACTTACTATTACTGTCACTAATCATTAAATTGAGATGATTCAAATACATTTAGTGATATATCTTTATAATGCACTACAATCTATAGATAGATAGATAGATACATTATGAAGTTTAATTTTAGGTTTTTGTGTTTGACATTTGAGGAAAGATTTTCCTAGGAAAGAAACTGCTTATGTATCAGTTTGGGCATCTTTCTCACACTTTAACAGTGATAAGACAGCAAGCCTACCCGCACATTTAATTCAGCTTTTGCATTGCAATACCTTTTGTTTCTTAAATGCTATCTCTCCATTCCTGCTAAGTTCATTTCCATTCTTGTGAAATTAGAACTTTTGTAGTGCTTTCAAGACGGGTCTGTGGGTAAGCTCTCCTACAGTATCTATGTGTCAGCATGTTTCTATTTTGCCCTTGGGTGATAATTTGGTTGGACATGGAATCCTACATGGATGGCTTATTTCTCTCGATACTTTGAAGACCTTTTGCTGTCACTTGCCGGCATCTGTCGATGAGAAGGTGGTTCTCAGTCAAGTTGCCATTTCTTGGTGGAAAACCCCCTCCCTGTCCTGTTACCTAACAGATATTTTCCTTCCTTGACATTCTGTAGTTTTCAGAATGATGAATAAAGGTGTGGTTTTGGTTTTATTAATTTCCCTTGGGATTTAGAAAGCTTTTTAAATCAGTGGATTCATGTTTTTACAGTTCTGAAAATGTCTTATTACTTCACATATTGCCTTAAAAATAATGCTGTCGAATGTGTTCTGGAGCATTTCATTCCACCCTCCAATCAGGAACCCTCCTGTGTCTCTGTATTTCTCTAGGAATGAATTTCCCGAGTCTTCCGATTCATGCTCTTAAATGGTGTCTGTTATTTATACCATTCAGCAAGAAATCTCTTCTTTCAATGAGTATTACTTCTTTCTTTTGATGGTTATTTCTAGAGTTTGTTGGTTTTTAATTCAAATTCATCTTTGTGTGTGTGTGTGTGTGTGTGTGTGTGTGTATGATACTAGAAAATAAACCTGGGGCCTCTGCCCTGAGCTACATTCCCAGCCCTTTTTATTTATTGATTTACTTTATTTTGAGACAGAATCTCACTAGGACACTAAGTTGCTTAAACTGGCCTCAAACTTACGATCCTCCTGCCTTTGCCTCTCTGAGTGCTGGTGTTGTGGGCATGTGCTACACATCTGGCTCCATTGGTTATTCTTTTTTTTTTTTTTTTTTTTTTTGTCTTTTTCCTTTTTATCAGTACCAGGGATCGAACTCAAGGCCGCCTGCTTGCAAGGCAGGCACTTATGCCGCTGAGCTAAATCCCCAGTTCCTCCATTGGTTATTCTTTAAAATAATATTTTATTCTTACCTCCTGAGCTTCATTCTGACTTTAAAAATCTCTTTCTATATTTTAAACATACTTATTCTAAAAACTATTTCTGTATTATCTAGAGTTCCTCCTCATTATTTCTCCCTTACATCGCATATGCTATCTCTCAAGGTGTCAGATTTCATCAAGTCCTGTGTAATTTTGGTCTCTGAGCTCGTATTTGCATGAATTATGTCCTGTCAGGGTCCCGTGCTTGCCTGTCATGAAGGCATTCCTGGAGCTGGACCCGTTTACACTCATTTTTTGGCGGTGGGTCTGTACAATACAAAGCCTGAAAACAGAACCATCCCCTTGTAGTATGCAGTTTGGGTTGCTAATTCTTCATGCTTGATCCTCTTTGGCAGTCACTGGGCACTGCAGAGTTTCAACACTTGTGGATTTCTCTCTGCAGCACTGAAAGATCCTGCTCTTTTTTGGGAGTTCAGCAATGTAGTAAAACAGTTAATCAACCGTTTCAGGGTACTTGGCATGAGGGTGGAAGCGTGAATGAACTCATTTCCTTTAAGCTTTTTGCCAATATTCTGCTGCACTTCAGGTCATTTTAATTGCTAGAAGAGAAACTCCACTTCAAGAGAATTATTTCAAGTGAACTGGGAAGGCAATAGTGTTTTAAGAAGAAATACAAAAATAGAACATGAAGGCTATAAATATAGACTGCCTTCCTCCCCTCTATTACCCATCATCCATCATTGGCTGGTCTATCTGTAGGAAAATATTTCACTCACCTTTCTTTTTCTACAAGAAAAAAGACATAAAATTACACCATAGTGGAAGGGTAGGAACTAGTGAGGAATGCACTTAGATGAAGAGAACAGAGAAGAGAAGCATCTTTTTCAGAAATGAGAAGGAAGAAACATGGAGGCAGAGAAAATGAAGGTGAAGGATTCTTCACTGGCAGATCTTGGTCTCCAAGGTAAGAATCAGCCTGGAAGCCTGAAGACAGGTACACACGTCACGGCTCCGGAGTGGTGAGGGTTAGATGGAGGAGGGGTAAGGAGTGTGGGACACAGGAGAGGGATGTTGACTCTTGAGGGAGAGAGGGTCCCACGGGAGGTCAGTTCTGTGTGCAGTGGTCTTGTGGACCCTGGAGCGGATGAATCAACCAGTGCACACTGCTTGGAAGACTTGACAAGGTAAGCGTCTCACCATTCAAGGTGTCAAGAGGCTTTTTGGTAATACTTTGCTGATTCAGACAATGTTTGTTTCTGATGCTTTCCGAAAAGCAGGTATGCCATACTGCACTCCAAATTTGTACATGGCTAAAGCCACATTGGTGGGTTTTATCCAGATACGTGTTCCCATAGTGCTGTTTCTGTACAGCTTGATTTCCAACAGCAGATGAGTTCTCAAGAGTCACACGAAACAGAGGCATTCACGAGCCAAAATCTCAGTGAAATGCTGATGAGCAGGGTTAGGAGCCCAGAGCCTGGAGCAGAGCTGCAGACACCAGTTCTGCCACCTGGGCGCAATCTGGGGCGAATGTCCTGGTTTCAGTAGGGCTCTGTGTTCTCATGTGAAATACAGGCATTCGACAAATGATTTCCGAAAATGTAGGACTCGTGCAAATTAAAGCTTTAAACCTTTCATTCACATAACCTTCCTAAGAGGAAAAGACCACACTGTAACCACTTAATAATCACCTCGCAACTGAAGTACCTAATAAATATGCTAATATGTCAGCATCTCAGAAAACACGTTAGGCCTGTTTAAGTTCACTTTAGTTTTTATTTCTTGGAGGCAAAAAGTACCTTCTCAGCACCACACAGCCATCCTCACTATTACTGGATTTTTATACACAAGAAGACAAATCATGCTGTGTGGTATGAAATCTAGCTGTTTGTTAAAATTAATTTTACTAAATTATATTGACCTGAATGCTTTAATGTAGAGTTTTTTTGTTTGGTTGGTTTTGTTTTTTTGTTACCAGGGATTAAACTGGTGACCTTGCACTTGCCAGGCAGGCACTTATGCCACTGAGCTAAACCCCAGTCCTGGTTGGTTTCTTTTTTTTTTTTAAAGTTTTATTTCTTCTTTTCTTAAAAATGCCCCATATATACTATGTTGGCTTTTAAAAACTAATCTTCATCTCAATCAACTGGTTTCAAGCCTTGCCAAACTTGCTACACCTCCTACAGTTTTGTGATAGGCATATTATAAATATTTTCTTTTAATTTATTTGAAAATAATTCAGATATTCCAGTTACAATCCTAACCCTTACCTTTTCTTTGATGCTTCAGAACTTAGAAAGAAAACAAGAAAACATAATGCCAGCTCTGGCTGCCAGTTCTGTTTCCAAGGAAACAGAATAGCTCATCAAGAACAAAACAAGGGTTTTCAACCTGATTATCCCTTTCACCGGTTCAGTCCTCGGCCCTGCAAAATGATACACAACATAACTGTAGCCTCGCACTCCTGAAGTTAATTCTGTGCTGTCTCTTGTGATTAAAACCAGGCGAAGAGTGTAATCTCGTGGGTTATGTGGTGGCTTGCCTGTATAAACAGCTAAACTCCTTCAGGTTCACAAGGATAAAGACTATCTGGTGAATACAAAGCACCTGTATACCTGCTGAGTAGCCTGATATATTTTGACTGCTACAATGTCAAATGTTTTCATTATTGAAATCAGATTCTATATTTCTTGGGAATCATATAAGACAGTCATGGAAATTTATAAAAAAAGGGTAAAGACTTCCTGTGTGAAATGTTTTGTCTGAAAGACACAAAAGGGAAAAGGGTCAAGGGAAGTAGCTGCACCTGCATGCCAACCAGAAAAGCATTGTCCTCTGGACAAAGTTATGACCCTGAAAGACCCTAGCATTATTATGTTACCCAGTGGTGCTGTGCGTTTCGTAAAAAGCAGAATTCCATTATGTAAAAATTATAGAGCCAGGGAATTCTTTTCAGGATGAACTGCACAATGGAAATTCACTGTAGTGAAAGAATAGTTTAATAGGTGTTAGATGACATCTTGATAATTTTAGGTAATGAATACTGAAATTTGAATAATAGTTCTAATGGGAAAGAGTGGTTAATGTAATCATTATTTGGTATTATATCTATTTTCTGCTTATGTATCCATTTCCTGCAAAGAATTCAAAGTTCTTAAAGGTATAAGCTACATGAAGATCTTTTTATTTCTAAGCCCAATAAAGGAACAGAAGGTACACTATAAGTCTTGTGGAATAAATTTTAAAATTTATTTTAGCAATACCCTATACTTCAGTTAAAAACTTTAGCTACATTTGAGCTTCTTGTTATGAAATGCAAAATTATGGCAAACAATTTCATTGCAAACAGTAATAACCAAGGTAGATTATTTACTGTAAATCAGCTCTCAATACTCAAAAAGGCTTGGAGGATAAGCTAGGCACCTGGAAGACAGCGCTGGCGATACACAGCAGTGTGGAGAGACAATCCCAACAGCACATGGCACGACGTGTGCTTGGGTGGAGAAGGACAAGACATGTGCAGTGGCCGGTTTTGGCTGAAGCCCATGTGTTTAAGCAAAGTGTGGAACCTGAGACCTTTGGGAAGGGTGGTGAAGGATCTGCACACGTGTTCTCATCTATCAAGGAGGTCTGGGTAGATCCAGGGGTTGGCGCGTCCCTCTAAAGGGCCAGGTAATAAATACTGCTGGCCTGAAGGGCCGGAAGCTTCTGAAACAGTTCATCAGCTCTGCCTTCACGGATGAAACGAGCCGAAGGCAGTGGTGGGTGCTGGAACAGCTCTGCAGCAAAAGAATCTGGCTTAGAACACAGATGAACAGACAGCAGGGAGAAGCCCAAGGAACTCCGCAGTCATCTGTTTCTGTAGGAGAAATGCTAATTTGTTTCATTCATCTACTGGTTTCTTTTGTTCAGTGAGAAGAGCTTTGCCTCTTTGTTTGTTTCTTCTTCCTAAGAAAGAATCATTTTTGTCCACGAGGCACATATACTCTGAGTAACATTTTGGCCCTTCTTTTAAGACCGTGATGCAGAGGATATAAACCATTGCTATTCTCTATTTTATGAAAATTTATTCTATGAAAATTTATCTTGTGTTTTTCATAGAGGTAAGCGGTACTTGTAATACATTTAAAAAAACATACAGGGGACCAGATTTGGCCTGTCCACCATGGTTTGTGATCTCTAAACTACAAGATACCTAATTCAATATTCCACATTCAGGGGTCTGCATCTGTGTTAACATGAGCCAACAGGGATTTTCTGATTTTTCAGATCAATTGGATACCTATCAAGAAATGTGATTGATGGTGAAATGCACAGGTGAATTTAGACTAATGATTCAACTTTTAGCTAAACATGTCCATGCCCTAAAGCTTTATGTAGTATCATTTTATATATATATATATGAACTATTATGACATTACTTGATATGGTATCATGACTAATTTCATAGTAGGTCCTTTTTTATAGTAATGTACTTGCTTCTTTATTAACCCAGTAAGGAATAAGACCAGCAAAGGTTTAAAAATGACTGTAATTTCAAATAGTGATGAATGCAAGTAACAGTTTGAGATTTCAGCAAAACAACAATGTGATATGAAAGGATGTGATTTTTTAATTGTAATGAAATACAAGAAGATATTAATGAAATTATAAAAAGTGCTCTTCTATGGAAAAATAAAACAAAATATCATAAGCAAATAATTAGAGAATTATAATAATTAGTACACTGGGTATTATGGTCTTGAAAGAATGGCCTAAATATTAATAGATCCATTTCAGAGTTTTTGTTTTTATTTTTGAGACACGGTCTCATTATGTAGTTCACTGCATATGGTTTTGAACTCACTATGTAATTCAGGTTGGACTTGAAGTCATCAATCATCCTGCCTCAGCCTGCCAAAAGCTGGGATAAGAGGCATATGCCACCATGCCCAGCTAATAGATCCATTGTGTGTGTGTGTGTGTGTGTGTGTGTGTGTTTTGTGTGTTTTAAAACAGAGTTTTGATGGAGACCACTACAAAGCAGCTCTGAGCAGGATTTAAAATTAACTAATGGGCCTGGGGATTTAGCACAGTGGCATAAACACCTGCCTGGCAAGTGGGAGGTCATCAGTTCGATCCCTGTACCAGAAAAAACAAACCAACAAAAGTAACCTAAATAATATGGCACCCAGAGAAGCTCTTTGTCCCAGCCTCTAGAGTCTCTAACTCCGCTGGAGGGTTTTGATCCTCCTGGAGCCCTAAAATCATACTACTTGTCTCATTTATTTACACCTTCGCTATACACTTCTTGGGGAGATTGGAGATATTGGCCAGGTCCCAGATAGAGTTTCACTACATAATTCAGGCTGGCCTTGAACTCACAGGAATCCTCCTATCTCAGCCTCCCAAATGCTGGAACTTCAAGGACATCTAAATGCCTTACATTTATTTATTTATCTTGTTATCTATTAGAGGGTAAGGGAACAAAGTTAGTCACTCAGATGTCAGTATATTTTTGATACCAGAAAGTTAAACCTGTACAAAACTCTATATTTCCCATTGTTACCATGTGAGGGTCTCATCTGTAAAATTCTTAGTGTATACTTTTCCCTGAGCCACTGCAAGGCCACTGAAGCTGGGGGGGGGGGCTTCAAATTATTTTGTGTGTGGTAAAACCAGAAAGGCTTGTATTTTACTTGAAGGACAAACAGCTGCCTAAAACACAGTCTTAGTAAAAGGAGTTAAGGGTGAGAGCCAATTGGCCCTGCCACAGAGGGGTGTGGTCAGGATCTTGCTTTTGCTGACAGTTTTGATTGCCAAATTACTTATGACCTGATATGAAGCAGGGGTAGTTTCCCAGGAACTGTATCCAAATAAACTTTTCCCAGTTAATAGCATAATGTAAGGAGGCCTCTTCCAGGTTTTGCCTGTGACTCATTATTTTTATTTTATTTTATTATTATTATAGGGTCTCCTATGCAGTTCAGGCTGTCCTTGAACTCACTTTGCCCAGGCTGGTCTTGAAGTTGCAGCGATTCTCCTGCCTCAGCCTCCTGAGTGCTGGGGTTAGAGGAGTGTGCCGCCACACCGGACTCAATATTTTTATGATTTGAGGAATTGTTTAATTCCTTTGAGCCTTGATTTACTCATTTATAAAATGGGAAGTATAATCCTCCCTTGGGGGTTGTGGGAAAGGGCACAGGTATCTGTGTAAAGGGCTGGATATGTAATAGGCACTCAGTACAGGCGGCTTTATCACTCAGCACTTGGCTGCCTAGAAAAACTAGTATTCATCCCAGAGCAGTAAAAGTACTCTCCTGATACGAAAAGGGGGCGGGGAGGAAAGATGAACACTTCTTTAAGCGCAAGGACCACCATCTTTCCATCTGTCAAAGAGACTGGTGCGGTGAGCTGATTGGAGCCGTAGGGAGGGGTGAAAGCCTTCTTCCTTAGGAGCTAGAATCCCATCAGGACAAGCGCGTTTCAGTGAAGGCCACAGTTTCTGTGGACACTTGATTGTGGCCCCTGCCACCCCGACAGCCCTGAGCAGGGTCTCGGGAGATCCCCTGTGGGGCTCTCCTGACAGCTGGGAGGTTTTCTCTGCTCCTGCGAGGCCTGTAGCAAATGTCTACCTGCTCCTGTCACCTAGCAGCTTCTCCACCAGTGCCTGCCGTGGCCAGAGTGTGGCTTCAAAGTCGATGTGAGATGAGACAGAGGGAGATTCCAGGCGCACAGGGCGGCACTGCGGAAGCTGGGTACAAAGGCCCCGGCTCTGCTGCCCTCCAAAGCCCCAGACCACAAGGCGCCAAGAGCTACTCTCCCAAGGGCACGAGACCAGTAACTACTTAGCTCTTTGCCAACGGGGTCTGTCTGAAGGGTTTGGCCGAGTTTCACTCTGGTGCTTGTTTTCCTGCTCCAGCACTCCTGCCTCATCCTGATGCCCAGTTGGCTGGAGGGTGAAGCCACCCTCTTTGGCCTAATTGGTGCCAAAATGGGTGCTTTCAAGGCAGCTGTTGAAAAGAATCCACAGGCAAGGGCATGACGGAGGTCAGAGGTCAGTGATCATACATCCTACAGGTTAGCAAAGTTTGGCCAACAGAAACAAAGCAGGGAACAAAACACAGTCAACAATCGAAGATGCCTGTCTGAACAGAAGAGGAGAAAGACCCAGGGAGGAGGGAATAAAATGACCAGGCGCCTGCTTCCCCTGAGGCTCCTGTGGGTCTGCTCCTTACCCTTCTCCCCAGAGCCCTCCGCATCCTAAGTGGGCAGTGCTCAAGATGGACAGTGCCTGCTGGTCAGCAGAGGTGGACAAGGCCCCTGCACATCCAGGTTCATAATAGCATTATTCCCAGTAGCCGTAAGGTAGAAACAGCTCAACTGCCCATCAAGAGCAAGTGGAAAAACAGAATATATTGCATTTCTTTAGGGGCTACGGACTCTGACCAAGGAAAGAGTGCACATGCATGTGGGCACACCTGCCCACCCAATCCCCCAGCGCGCGCGCGCACACACACACACACACACACACACACACAGAGCAATATTATTCAGTGTTGCAGTGGATGGATATTCTAACACTGCTATTATATGTTTGAACTTCGAAGGTATTATGAAAAGTACATAAACCAGTCAAAAAGGATAACCATGGTATAATTCCACTTATGTGATGCCTAGAGTAGTCCTGTCCGTAGAGATAGAAAGTAGAATAGTGGCTGGCAGCTCAGGGAGAGAGACACAGCAGTTACTTTTAACTAGTATAGACTTACAATTTTGCAGGGTGAGATTTATCCAGATGGACAGTTGTGACAGTTATGCAGCCACATGCATGTCACTAAACTATACCTTGAAGATGGCAAGGTGGGAATTTTTATGTATCTTGCTTCAATTTTTTTTCTTTTTTTGTTATCAGGAATCAAACTGGGGACCTTGCACTTACCAGGCAGGTGCTGTGCTGCTGAGCTGTATCCCTGGTTCTACCCCAATTTTTTTTTTTAAATGAGAAATGGCCTTGGAAGATTTTCATAGCAGCAGGTTATACATGAATCCTGTTTTTCAGGGCATTTTTAGTGAGAAATACAGTGATTTTCTTTCTGGGAAAGGAAAGTATAAAAATATATTTTTTGGAATTTTTTTAATGAAAGCATCTTCCATTGGTGAAAAATCCTTTCTTCTCTAACACAATATTTTCCTGAGCAGTAATAAAGAGCCCGCCCCACTCTCAGATGGACTGGAGAGGGCAAGATGTGAGGACAGCGTGTGATGCAGGGCACAGTGTGTGCAGGAAGAATCCAGAAAGAGAAAAATGTAAGATAGGTGGACAGAATGAGGAATGAAAGCAGAAAGCCATGAGCGGAGGCAGAAGAGGACCTTGGAGGCTTTCCACAACAGCGAGCATAACAAGGACTTTGAAACTGAACAATCTGTCAGCAGAAGAGCTCAGCAGAGAAGACACTGTAGAATAAGACAAGCGAGACAGATCTTTCTGTCCCCCAGTGTCGAGCGGAACAATACCAGAAAAGAAGCAGAGGCAGGGACCTCAGCCATCTCTGACCCGGAAGGCCCCACAGCTCTGCAGAGGAGGAAGGGGCCTCAACAAGGTGCTTTGTGGGGGAACAAGCTTTCCGGGTCAGAATTGCCTGTAGAGTTTTAAATGCAGAATTGTTCTGCAGTGGGTTCTGGGCCAAGACTGGACACTTGCATCTCTGGTGAGTTTCCAGGTGATGCTGAGGCCACTGGTTTGACAGCCACAATGTGAGAACCACGGTTCTAGAATGAAAGAGGTGTAGGGTATCAGTGACTGGTTGTACACATTCGAGATTTTTTTCAAAACCTTAAAAAAGAAGGCCCAAGTCAGGAACTATAGTGAGAGACTGTACTGGCATTACATAAACTCAGTAGATTTATCCACATTTGGTTCTTAATGCAGTGGGTAAGGGTGGGAAATTTATAGTCAGATCTGGGCAAAATGGCTAGAAAGCAGTATGTCTTATCAGCCTTTTCCTCTCCTATTTTCTTCATTGTAAAACTAGGCTAACAGAGTACTAACCCAGCGGGATTATTCGGAAGATTGTGACTGATGTCACCTGGGGAGGCTCCTCGGTGGTACAGTGTTTTTCTAGCACATATGAAGGCTTGCATTCCACCCCGTGGGCCTGAGACTGATGCGCATATGGGACTGAGCCCTGGATGCAGCACACGGTAAGCACAGCAGGCATTTCCTTTTGGCTGTGCCAGCATCCACCTCTGTTGTTCCCGAGGCAGCTAGAATTACCTGCCCACCACTATACATACAGCCTTTGGAAATCTGAATCTCGGGAACAAAGCCAAGATAATAACCCATCATTCTGATCCTTCCAACTTACCATGGAAGCCTCTTCGTCTGGTGGCAGGAGATTGATAGACGGAAGTGTAAGGATATATGTTGCCCTATGGAAATGTCTAACCCGTGAGTGTTCCCTCCAGTGTTACTGAAGAGGAAGAAAGATGACTCTGGAGGCTGAGTCAATTAAGTAGCTTGCAGTTTCAATATTACACACTGTCTCATGTTCATGCCCTTTGTAAGGTGTTGCAAGGGAAGCAAAGCATTTATGTACTTTAATTGGATGGAAAGCTGAAGCTAGATGATAAGATAGAGCATAATTTTTTATTATCTAAAAACTCAATAAAGAATTAATTTGGGAGGAGGCTGGGATTTTAATGAAACTGAAATAAATGACCACTTTTGGTCTCTTTCATTAGAAGATGTACTTATAATTAAAATTTCCACTGGGGGTATTTCTTTTTATCTTTTTTTTTTTTTTTTTTTTTTTTTTAGACAGAGTCTTGCTATGCAGTGCAGGCTGGTCTCAAATGTGCAATCATCTTCCTACCTCAGGCTCCTGAGTGCTGGGATGACAGATGTGCACCACCAGATACTTAAATTGCATACTTAAATTGAGAAATGACTGGGTTAATGGTTTCCCTTCACACACCACACAGCCACACCTGCAGTGAGACTCCTCGTATCTACATGCTACAGCCTCTTTGGGGAACATGACTCTGCATTCTGTGACCCTCTGGACCCATTGTTTAAAATCTTAGGAAGACAAGCTCTGATGGGAGTGGTTCTGCTCCACACGGCTCTCCTTTGTATCCAGCGACACATAAACAAGCTGTGTACTCTCAGACTCGGGGCTCATTTCTGTCTTTTAAATGACTCTCCTTTGCATGGCTTCAAAAGCAAACACCTTCAGACTGGACATTGTTCTTTCCTCTTTTCCTTGTGATCAGTTTTTCCTTCCAGATAACGACATGTTTCACGGGGCCAGGCCCTGTTGTAGCTCTGGCTCTGTACATGACAGTTGGGGGTGCTATTTCTTTGCACTGATGTCGAGTGATGAGGGTTGCAACACTGCTCTGGCGGATTAAAATGGGGGAGTCTGATGGAGACAGATGGGAAGGCTTCTTGCCCTCTTAAAGTAACCCACAGAGAGGGGGTACCTCTTCTTCTTTGGGTGTGTTGCACTGGAGTTCTTCAGAAGGCAAGACTCTTGGGAACTGATGGGGTTGCCTTACTGGAGGGGAAGTGGGCAGTGGTGCAGTCCACTGCAGAGTATTGTCCATACACTGGGAGATCAGTGGATCCTGCAGTTGCTTAGCTCAAGGAACCAGAAGCTGCAGACCAAGAGGAACTGAGGATGTGGAGCCAGCCCGAGGCTCCAGGCCTGCAATTTCCCAGAGACTCACTGGCATGTGTACTCACTGAGAGGCTGCGGGAGCTGCAGTCTGGAGCTCACCGGCACAAGAGGCACCAGCTCATCTACAGCAGGGATTTTCAAGGCACAGGCTGACTTCTTCCCTGTTATTCCATCTAATCTAAGCCTACAGATGGTGCCGACTACCAGCAGGGCAGGTTGGCCCCCTCCAATTGCTGGCTCATGAGCCGGTCACCTCTGGAAACACCCCTCAGACACACCCAGAATACCACAGGCTAGTGAGACTGGGTCTCAAAACAAAACAAAAATTAAAAACAAAAGTCAAACAGAAATAGAGAAAAAAATTTAACCATAAGTAGGAAAGCAATCATAATTATCTCAATAATTGGTAAAGCAGACAAAATTTTAATTCTGACACAAATATTTCTGAGAATAAAAAGACTGCTTGGGCTCCACAACTTATTGTGCAAGGTTAAAACACTAATACAAAATCTGGTACAAAAAAGTAAAAATCAATTTCATATAAAGTAAAATAATAAGCATTAAAAAGTTCATCAGTGTATAAAAAAGACAGGTTATGATTACTTAGTTACTTCCCAGAAATACAAGATTGGCTTAGCATTAAAAATACTTTAGGTTATGATATGTACGTTAGTATGCTAACAAATTAGCAGAAAAAACTATTATCTCCATAGATGGAAAAATACAATAAAATTCAACATTGTATTCCAAAACCTACTAGAAATCTATGGCTATACAGAAATGCTCAAATCTGTTAAAAAGCTTCTGCCAATCTTTAGCAATGACAGTTTTTTCCTCGGTGCAGTAGAAAAGCAAGAGCAAGGAAAAAAAGAAACGAAAAGTCCTTTATCGTGGACACGGAAGGGCTCCAGGAATGTGCAAGGTCCCCTCTTGGTGGGAGCTTTTATTCGGTCTGATGGGGGGGTGGGGCTTAAAGTGGCGGGCCGAGTGACGTAGTGACAGCGGATTGGGGGAATGTTGACGCACGCGCAAAAAGCCGGGAGTTCAATTTTCAGGTTTGGAGCAAGCACAGGTAAGTTAGGCCCGTGCCATGCTGAGCCTGGCCACACTTGTCAAGGACAGAATCCACCAAGCAGGTCATGTTTTTAACATAAAGTGTTGAAAGCACTTCCCTAAAGGTCACAGACTTTCACTATAGTCTCTAGTTTGTGGCAAGAGTGTGCACTATCACGATCCCTGTCGCACTCGGCCCATGGCACCACAGCCACGCAGCCGGGTCACGTCTTCTGGCCCCGGCATGCACCAAGGCACAGGACAAGCGTGGACAGGCGCTGCATCGCTGCCTCGAAGAGCACAGTGGGGAGGGGCAAATGCGTGGCTGCTTAGTGCAGCTTAGATTTCCCACTCCTGTCCTGCGGTGCGGCTCAGGTCCTGCACCTCCCAGGCATCTTCCCTGACTGCATCCTAAGGCCTCCCAGGGTCCCTGTGGGCCTGTCTTCTACAATCCTGACCCGCACCGGGACATTCTCCGCTGCCACAGGGATTCACCGAGTGTCTGCTGGAGGGAAGAGTGAAGGGTAGCAGGGAAACAAGGGAGAAATAGTAGATGGAGATGAAAACAGTCAGAGCTGAAGGAATAAAACACAGGAAATCCAGACTTCCCTCCTGTTAACCGGCGGTCATAAAAGACGGCACACTCTACGACGACACTCATAGGAAATGTTCTTAACGGGCGAGTAGATTAGTGGTAGCCTGTGACTGAGGTGGGGACAGTGTTGTAGTCTGGGCTGCAAGGAAAACAATTACATACAGGACACATAATGTAGAGTGTTATAATAGTCACCCAGAGTCAAATACAGGAAAGTACAAGAAATCTGTGCACACACTAAAGACCCAGAGAATCCAGCCGAGGGCCTGCATCCCACGGCAGTGTCCTGCATGGGTTCAGCTGAAGAACTGAGCTTATAACACTGCCTCCCACAGGTCCAACGTGAGGTCTAGAGCCCACAACAAGGACTCATGCAAGTCTGTTTCATGGATTTGCCCTGGGAAGGTTCAAGGGTCAGCAACAGAAGCTAAAAAGTCTGTGCCAGCAGGGTGAAGGATCTGTGCCAGCAGGTTGAGGGTGCTGCACTGAAAACAGGAAGCAATGCTCAAAATAAGAACCAGGGCTCCCCTGAAAAATACCACAGCCATCCTCAGCAACAATGAGGTCCTGAGCTCCTCTGATGATGAAAACATCCCAGTCCATATCAGGAAGCCAGCAAGACACGCTTCTCCTAGAAACTGAAGAGCACAAATCTTCCCCTCCAGAGCCAGGAAGCGATGCTTAATGTAAGCACAGAGCTCCCCAAAGTGAACCACAGCCACTCTCAGCAACAAGGTCCCAAACTCCTCCAAAGATACTAGCAGAGTTCATACCAGGGGAGCCAGCATGACGAGCTCCTCCAGGAGAACCAATGGCTCCAAACACCACTTAGGAGAACCCACAGGCTACTCCTCCTCTGCAGGTCTCCTTCTTATGCTGGCAGCATCCTCAGGTGGGCCATCCACGCCCAGCACCACGCTGACTCAGTTCAGCTGGTGTTAAACTGACCACCAGTTACCAGACCACTACAGAGCCTGAGGAGGTCTTTGCTAATGGAGAAGGATTTTTTTTTTTTAGCAGTAATGGAAAAATTTTAAAAAGTTTATTAGCACCTGCTTGTAGTAATTATATGTATTATGTGGGGTTGGGGTTTATATGACACAGCTTGACTCTCTTTTCCTTTCTCTTCCCCTATCTTCCACCTTCTCTCCATCTCCCAGTTCCCTTCCCCTCTGCAAAAGATTCATCTCCCTGGTCCTTAGATCATGACAGTTCTATGCAAATACCGAAAATTGTGGAATTATATTCTAAAACAAAGGGGATTGCAGAGCATGTAAATTGTACCTCATTCAAAGCAATTTTTTAAAAGATTACTATAGCATGAATCACAGATCTCTCTTTTAAGGAAGCCAAATCAATGGCGATGACAGTTATCAGTAACGGGAGGGAAGACAGAGAACAGGTGTGGAAGGGGAATGGCTGAGCTCAGGCTAGACAGGTGGTGAACAGTGACTGAAGTGTCAGCAGAGGACAAACTTCCACGAGATGAAGTTGAGGCATAAAATTACAGAATCATGGTCGCATTCACAAGCCAGCATAGTATCCTGGGATTTTATATTAAAATAGGCTGGATGCCTACGTTTATAAAAACATGAAAATTTCCCTTGCTTTCCAAGGGTTTGGTTTATACAACTATTATTCAGTAGAATGTTCTTTTTTTAACTTAGAAACTTATCATTGATGATTCTAAAAGCATTTTGAGGCTAGCCTACTTTAAAAATCTTTATCTGGAAGTGGGAGAGGAGAAGCGTTATCGTCTGTTCGCGGTGAGGCAGTTAGCTGTCCCGGTGAGCTATCCCCTCTGGGACTGTGGGCTCCCGAATGCCCGGCCCATCTGCAGGGGCATGAGGAAACGGGTGCAGAGTAGGTTAATT